ATGGAACCGTCAAAACAACCTCCTCTATTACCTTGTCCTCTGTATTAAATCTACCGAAGTTGGCCTTCAATTTGATTTCTGTGAGTAAACTTACTAGAGATCTTAATTGTTATGTTTCGTTCTTTCCTAATCATTGCTTGTTTCGTGATCTTGCGACGCATAAGGTTATTGGTAAAGGACATGTAATTGATGGTCTATATATCCTTGATGAATATGAGTCTCGATTTGTTGCATGCTCAAGTGTCTTGTCTCCATTTGAAGCACATTGTCGATTAGGACACCCTTCTTTACCTTTATTAAAAGAAGTTATGTCCCCAGTTTCAAAATGTTCCTTCTTTGGAGTGAATCATGCCGATTTGCAAAACATCGTCGCATCACATTAGGTCCAAGGGTTAATAAACGAGTTGAATCAGCTTTTGAGTTAATTCATTCTGATGTTTGGGGACCATGTCCGGTTGTTTCCAAAACTGGACATAAATATTTTGTCACTGTTGTGGATGATTTCTCTTGGATGACTTGGATTTATTTTATGAAAAGTCGCTCTGAAGTGTTTACTCACTTTTGTGCCTTTTATGCTGAAGTCAAAACTCAATTCAATGCTTCTGTGCATATTTTAAGGAGTGATAATGCAAAAGAATACATGTCAGAGTTGTTTCAATCCTACATGAGACAACACGGTATCCTCCATCAGTCATCTTCTAACATACACTTTCTCAAAATGGAGTTGCTGAGAGGAAGATTAGACATCTAGTTGAGACAGACCGAGCACTTTTGTTCCAAATGAAAGTTCCTAAACAATTTTGGGCCGATGCAGTCTCTACGGCTTGTTTTCTGATTAATCGCATGACATCAACAGTGCTTGTTGGTAATATGCCTTACAGTGTTCTTTTTCCAAACAAGTCTTTATTTCCGATGGAACCAAACGTATTTTGAAGTACATGTTATGTTCAAGATGTACGTCCATCTGTTACTATGTTGGACCCTAAGGCATTGAAGTGTGTTTTCTTGGGTTATTCTCGTCTTCAAAAGGGGTATCGATGTTATTCTACTGAACTTGGCAAATATCTGGTGTCGAATGATATGGTATTTTCAGAGATTACACCATTTTTCTATTCTCTTCCTAAAATTACAAGTCAAGGGGAGGAAGATGAGTGGTTAGTTTATCATGTTACTCGTGTTATGGAATCAAGTGATGCTATTCTTCCATCTCCTAATGACTCTATTGAGCACCACTCGACTACTGTGCCACCAATACATGTTCCAGCAACACCACCAATTGTTCAAGTTTATTCAAGGAGACGAGAGACTGATGATACATGTCCTGCACCAAGTCCTCCATTTGATCCTCCAGAACAACTTGACCTCCCTATTGCTCTTCGTAAAGGTACAAGGACTTGCAAATCCACATATTCTATTGCTAACTTTGTTTCCTATGATCGCTTATCTCCTACATCTAGATCCTTGATTGCTTCTCTAGACTCTGTTTCTGTACCCAAAACAGTGAAGGAGGCTTTGCATCATCCTTGATGGTCAAATGTGATGCTTGAGGAAATACATGCATTAGAGGAAAATCACACATGGGATTTAGTGGATTTACCCATTGGGAAGAAACCAGTAGGATGTAAGTGGGTGTATGCCAAATGGTTCCGTGGCAAGACTTAATGCCAGGCTTGTCAGACTTATGGGTGGACTAGAGTCTGGACTGAAAATGAGCAAATGTGATCACTCTGTCTTCTACCGACAATCTAAAGTTGGCACTATCCTTCTTGTTGTATATGTTGATGACATTATCATCACATGAGGTGATTCTGAGGGGATCTCTTCCCTTAAGTCTTTCTTACATACTAAGTTTCATACGAAGGACTTGGGACAATTGAAATATTTTTTGGGAGTAGAAGTAAATAGAAGCAAGAAGGGAATTCTTCTATCTCAGAGAAAGTATGTTCTTGACCTACTTGCAAAAACTGGAAAATTGGTAGCCAAACCTTGCAGTACTCCAATGGTTCCCAATGTGCATCTCATGAAAGATGGCGACCCTTCTGATAATCCAGAGAGGTATAGAAGGATAGTTGGGAAGTTAAACTACCTCACAGTGACTCGTCCTGATATTGCCTTCGAAGTAAGTGTTGTAAGTCAATTCATGTCTACACCTACGGTCGAGCATTGGGCAGCTTTAGAACAGTATGTTACTTGAAAGGAGCTCCTGGACTTGGCATATTGTATAGCAATCACAACCATACTCATTGAGTGTTTTGCAGATGCTGATTGGGCTGGTTCCAAGATTAATAGAAGATCCACTACATGTTATTGTATCTTTGTTGGAGGAAACTTGGTAGCATGAAGGAGTAAGAAGCAAAGTGTTGTATCTCGATCCACTGCAGAATCTGAGTACAGAGTTATGTCACAGTCTACATGTGAAATTATGTGGATACATCATCTTTTAATTGAAATAGGGTTGAAGCATCATATGCCACAGTATACATGTGAAATTATGTGGATACATCATCTTTTAACTGAAATAGGGTTGAAGCATCATATGCCGGCAAAATGCTGGTGTGATAATCAAGTTGCTCTTCATATTACCTCAAACCCAGTGTATCATGAAAGAACTAAACATATTGAAGTTGACTGTCACTTCATTAGTGAGAAGATTCAAGAAATCTTGATCTCCACTAGCTACGTGAAGACAGGAGAGCAACTAGCCGATTTGCTTACAAAAGAGGTAAATGGAACTCCAGTCGATTACCTTTGCAACAAGTTGGGCATGGTTAATATCTATGTTCCAACTTGAGGGAGAGTGTTACAAAATGTATATAGACATCATTTTAGTAGTATACATAGGCATATTTTTAGCTAGTAGATCTGTAGGAATCCCTCATAATTAGCTAGCAGATTTGTAGGAATCCCTCTTTATTTTATTTCCTAAATTAGCACCTAGTATATTGTATTTATATCTTGCTTATCTATTGGAATAAGATATCTACTTCTATTCTATTACAAAAATCATAAAGAAACACCATACATTATCTTAAAGAAATGTGTAGAGCTTAAGCATTCAAACCCCCCCACCCCACCCCTCTCCACTTAAAAATATACAGATATTATTATTTAAATTTTGGTTGGGATTGCATTACACTCATGTTTGATTCATTCAAGTCAAAATAAGCTATGAGAGGTGAATTTTCAGGCGGCATACATTTCATCAGCTAATTACCAAACAAAAAGGGAAGTGCAATTACACAATATACACCTCAAGATGCTTATAAATGAATTTTCAGAATACATGTCGTCCTTCCAGAACTCCTAGACAGCAAATCAGTTTCGCATTTTGTTAACCAAAGCAAAAATAGAGGGTTGAGGTATTGTTTAACACACATCGTCCCAAAAAAATGGCAGAAAGGTTCAACCAGAATCTGAAATACACACCCCATATATAGGGCTCTAATGGCCATCTAACAAGCAAGTATAGATCAGGACTACATGCCTCCAAATTCTAATTTTAGTTTCGTTAATAATTAGAAAAAGCTATTTAAGGTATCGTACCTGCACATTACTCTCTTGCACTAGAATATCCTTCGCTTTCTCGCATAGTCCTTTTACCTACACAACAAGCACCTTTATCAGCCAATTCATTTATCACTAATACAAGAGGGGGAATAAAAAATGTGCACCATAATAAAAGAGCCACATGAAGCAAGTCATTAAATAAAAGCTTAACATAAGTGAAGAAGAACAAGCTCAAAATAAAACTAGTTCAGTAGAAGAACCAAAGTATTGATAAATACTTTCTTTGTTATAAGCTTATGCCCAGCTCTTTCCCTGTATACAAGTAATAATATATGCCACAATCTTGCATTCTCAAAATGGTAGCTTCCACTAGTTACCTTCTTGCCTGCTGAAGTTCATGTGAATGATCGTGAAAGCTCTTCAAATCTTATTTCACTGGAAAAAAAGTGATCCCATTCTATTTTTGCTTTCTTTTTTCAGAAGAGGATGGGGAAACCTATCTAAAACTCTGCAACAACCCACTACCATTCCTTTCATGGATTCCATTTCAACCAACTATTATTACGGAATTAGCATATTCAATTACAAGCTCATGAATGAAGAGAAATGACAACACCATAAAAAGACTAGATTATCCACTACAACTTAGTAAAAGATTGATTATACAATCGCAAGTAAATACACTCCTAACAGTTCGAGAGCACTAGGAAGTCAACTAGTGACCAAGGAGCAAAAATGGGTCGAAAGTGAATATGATATCACATTCAATTTGATTGAAGTCACAGATTCAATCAACAATTCTATACGACCGCACATTTCCTTCTCTTATGACCCCCACCATAATCAAAATTCCGAGAGTAGCCAAAACACGACTAGCACGTGAAGGAAGACAAGAATCCATTGATATGTCATATACAAATTCAAGTTCTTTTTAGTTTCGTTAATAATTAGAAAAAGCTATATAAGGTATCGTACCTGCACATTACTCTCTTGCACTAGAATATCCTTCGCTTTCTCGCACAGTCCTTTTACCTACACAACAAGAACCTTTATCAGTCAATTCATTTATCACTAATACAAGAGGGGGAATAAAAAATGTGCACCATAATAAAAGAGCCACATGAAGCAAGTCATTAAATAAAAGCCTAACATAAGTAAAGATGAATAAGCTCAAAATAAAACTAGTTCAGTAGAAGAACCAAAGTATTGATAAATACTTTCTTTATTATAAGCTTATGCCCAGCTCTTTCCCTGTATACAAGCTTCAGTAATAATATATGCCACAATCTTGCATTCTCAAAACGGTAGCTTCCACTAGTTACCTTCTTGCCTGCTGAAGTTCATGTGAATGATCGTGAAAGCTCTTCAAATCCTATTTCACTGGGAAAAAAGTGATCCCATTCTGTTTTTGCTTTCTTTTTTCAGAAGAGGATGGGGAAACCTATCTAAAACTCTGCAACAACCCACTACCATTCCTTTCATGGATTCCATTTCAACCAACTATTATTACGGAATTAGCATATTCAATTACAAGCTCATGAATGAAGAGAAATGACAACACCATAAAAAGACTAGAATATCCACTACAACTTAGTAAAAGATTGATTATACAATCGCAAGTAAATACACTCCTAACAGTTTGAGAGCACTAGGAAGTCAACTAGTGACCAAGGAGCAAAAATGGGTCGAAAGTGAATATGATATCACATTCAATTTGATTGAAGTCACAGATTCAATCAACAATTCTATACGACAGCACATTTCCATCTCTTATGACCCCCACCATAATCAGAATTCCGAGAGTAGCCAAAACACGACTAGCTCGTGAAGGAAAACAGGAATCCATTGATATGTCATATACAAATTCAAGTTCTTTTTATTTTAAGTAAACATGATCGTCTGCCTTACTACAATTAATAGGAAAATGATAATAAAGAACACTAAAATGAATTTTCCATGTTTTCCCTACATCCAAACAAAACAGAAACTGAATATTTCAAAATTTTGAAATCGAGTAACACAAATATATTACCTTTCTTAAGGACAATTAAAAGTAAAATGACAATTAGTGTATAGTGTACTACATGTTTGCCTCACTACAATTCTTAGAAAATAATACTAAAGAACAATAAAATGAACTTTTTCATGGTTTTCCTACCTCCACAACACATATGTTTCCCTTCTGAGGACAATTAGAAGTAAAAATGACAATTAATTGTACTGCATGTCTGCCTCACTACAATTCATTGGAAAATAATACCAAAGAACACTAAATCGAACTTTTTCATGTTCTCCCTACATCCAAAATTGACAAGAAACTGTAAATATTTCCAAGTCTAGAAATCAAATAACACATATATATATATGTTAGTTTCCCTTCTTCTAACCATCTAAATAATGAAGAACGTGTGGATCTGATCTGCATAAACTTGGAATGATACCAAGTTGAAAAAGAAAACCCATAAAGTTTCAACAAAACAACTCCTCAATCTGGAATTGAATCAAGAAAAGGGTACAATATTTAGGGAAAATACGCATCCAATAACAAAAAGAAAAAAAATGGTGTTGTTTCACTTGATTTACGCTAAAACCAAAGTAAAGTAACCTTATTATGAAAATATTACTACAACTTGGAGAGAACATTTAACATGGTCTCTTATTGGTGGTTCTTGACTTCCTTTAAAATTCAATTTGGTAATTTTATTTATCCAGAGGTGGAAACCAACTTTGCAAGCATAGGGCAACTATATTGGTATATTTCTCGTATAGAGTATTTTCCCCCACAATATCAATAAACTATTACACCCTCCCCCACCCAAAAAAAAAACCTAATTTCCTAAAAGTTGCTTTTAAGCAGTAAAGATATCAAAAAAAAATATGTCTGTGATAAACTAAATCATAGATAAAACCCGTAACTGTTAAACACAGGCAATCTCATGTTTTTACTAGAGATCTTGAAAAGAGCAATCAGAAAAACATAGACAACTCCACCGATATATACTAATTTACCAGCACCCTACAATAACATGATAAGAGCAAGTGAGCTTTAGGAAAATAGAGCATACCTTCATCTTTTCATTAGTTTCATTAACAGTTTCACCATCCTTCTTCTTCCTCCAATGATGACCATCTTTACAGAAATCTTGTTGTACTTTCCAATCAAATAGAAACATGGAACCACCTGAAACTGAAAAGCTATATTAGTTAAAACTTTAAAAAAAAGAAAAAGGAAAATCGCTTGGGCAGATAACGATGAACCTGGAGTTGGAGTGGGGGATGTTGATGTAAGATGTGCTACAGCTGCCACAAATTTAGAGAAAACATTGATTGACTGGGAGAGCAAAAACCACCTGGAATATTTAGTTGGCATTCACAAAGCTTCCAGAACTTTTGAAGAATGGATTTATCTGGAGAGTACCCTAAAGCTTCTAGCTCTGTGGATGCAAAGGTTGCTCTCCTGAACAGCCACCACTGTTCTGAAATGACACAACCTAGACCAAGAAAAACAACAAACTCAATCAATCAAAAGAGAACATAGAAGACACTAACAGGAGATAAGTGAACATAGAAGTTTGGAATAATGGCTACCATACATGCAAGTTGACTTGCACGAAGACCTTCCGGAGATTTCGTAGTCAGGAAGAACTCAAGTAATTCAAACAAGGCACTGCGCTTGGAGATGAAGGAAGATATAGATTGTTCCAGGACTGATCCAGAGTTTATGATAGAGTGTAGGCAAGAGCAAATATGCAGATGCATGTTCAGAAGCAGAAACCCAATAACCTGAATAGTAAGCCAAAGCAGTTGAGTATAGGTAAGACTACGAAAAAGAATTATTCAAATTACAGTATACCCACCTCGTCATCAATACTTCTGAAGTTTTTGAGAGTCTCTGCAAGATCTTTATGCAAACTTTCAATGGAAATTTGCCTTGACAGACAATTAAAGTTAATACAACCTTTTCAAGTTAAAAAAGCAGTGAATATTCATCATCACCATCCTGCAATAACAAAAATTGCACATTTGACCAAAACGCATCAATAAAACACAGTCCCCTTCAATTTGTTAATGGCACATACCGCAACTTCTTTTAATGCAGATTTAAGTTTGATAACAAGCTCATCTTAAATCCCCTTAAATTTGTTAAGGGCAAAGTCCTGTAGCTCCCCACAACTCAAAGTAGCACAGAAGTTCAGAGCTTTTACACGAGATCTAAGAGCTTCCTTTACACCATGCTTAAGGAATGCCTTTTTCTTCAGAAGGACAACAAATGTAAAATTCTGGAAAAGCAAAAGAAAACAACTTTTAGTTAACAGTTCAAAAAAAAATTACTTCATATTGGCAATCCCCTATATAGTTCATGATCGTAATAAGTTCCACAAACGCACCTGATCTTGTCTTTTAAGAGAATCGCGCTCAAGGTTGATATGAACAATGATTTCAAGTAGATGGTGAATTTTTGCTTTGTCAGACATAAATTTGTGAGGAAGTTGTGGATAATTCCTCATCATAGAAATGGTTAGATCACTCTTAGAAATTTCAAACACGTCCTGGATATTGCAACATAAGCATTCAAAAAATTCAGTATCCCGGAGTAGTATGGCTGAAATCTGAAAAACACCAATATAATTTGTCATTGACAAAGAACACTAAAGAAGGAACCTATCTAAAATAATCTAAACAAATATTGAACTTGAGGGGATACTCTATGAATTCAAAAAATCAAAACCACAGCATCTAGATACTCATTCTGCATACAAATTGAATGATGTCCCTACTGAGCAAACACAGTTATACATGAAAATAATCTGACTGCTCACTCTATTATCAAACTCCAAGTACAATAAAGCGTCTTAATGTTGTTAGAAAAATGTTAAAGATGGTAACATGATAATATACGAAAATGGCACCTCTTCCACTAAATAATACTAGTAAGTAATCTGGATGTATTTGACCAACTGACCTGATTTAAGACAAACATACAGTTCAAAAAAAATTGCAGCACAGTACAGATCTACCAGGTTGCAGAAATATTACCAACTTATTATTTCACAAGCACTTTCTTGGAATCCATTCTCAAGTGTAAACGGTGAAGTTTGAAGCAAAAATATAACATTTACTTAAGAGTATCAACAAGAAGAACTAAAGAACCTCACCTTTTGTGCTTTGGTGTAGTATTTCTTTTTATTATCACTAGCAGGAACAATCTTCTCCAAAACTGCCTTCCTAGTTGACGCAAAAAGTAGCCGAATTAGGTTTGTTGCATCTTCATCACTTAATTCAGCTGATAGCTCTTCTTCCAAGAGCATACACGGGATACGTTTCAATCCTGTAAAGACATAATTTTCAAGTGAATATTTTCTTCAACCACGGAACAAACTTAGGGATCCATGATAAGAAGAAGACCCTTCTTAAGTTTTTCGATGAGAAAATAGGAATATAGCTGTCAAATCAATAAAAATAGAAAATGCCTATAAAGGCAAGTTGTAGAAATTACTAGTCTAACCAAACTCCAGATAATTGTATTATAGCATTAATACTAAAAATCCACAGGGAAATACAGGACAAATTCAGAAATTATACAGTAACTTATTACGTCTTCCAAACAAAGTTGAGCCACTAGAAGACTAGGCTCACTGAAATTTGTAGGGAGATACTACTCTAACCAAAACTACATACTATTTTCATGTTGCAATGTAATGTCCACTCTACTCAGATGACTAACTCATTTGCAGCATATCCTCAAGTCCATAGAAATAATTGAAGACTATGACATACTTAAACTAGTAGATCAAATTTAGGATGAAAAGGGTGTGTGCTTGTATTGGTGGGAAAAATTATGAGATCCCTGCATCATGTGTTCCTCATTTTTTAAGGTACGTTATTTCTCTGTGGTTGTATCACCTAGAACATTTACATCTAAGCACAACTAGCATTTTAAAGCACAAGTGGAAGTAGCAGAGTAGTTCTCGTAAGTTGGAACACACTACTTGATTAATCACAAGAAGTGTGACAAAAATAGATCTTTCTATTAAATGAAATAAGAAGTGTTACCTGTATGACAGCCATCCACCAAGCTCTATCCTTTCACTGCCTAGTTCAAGTTTATCCCATCTGATCCATTGAGGGCAACCAGACTCTTCAGGTCCATAGGATCTTCTCAATTCCATATGCATGGAAATAAGGGCATCCATCATCAGTTTGGAAGCTTCTTCCGTTGCATATATCTGATGAGTACCCCAAAGCTTCTAGCTACGTGGATGATACAAGGGTTGCTTTCCTGAACAACCACTGTTCTGAAAAAAGAACACAACCTAGACCAAGAAAAACAACAAACTCAATTAACCAAAAGAGAACATAGAAGGCACTAACAGGAGATGAGTGAACATAAAATTTAGGAATAATGCTTACCCTACAGGCAAGTTGACTTGCACGAAGACCTTCCGAAGATTTAGTAGTCAGGAAGGACTCAAGTAGATCAAACAATGCACCGCGCTTGGAGATAAGGAAGATAAAGACTGTTGCAGAGTTTAAGATAGAGAGTAGCCTACAAACATGCAGATGAATGTTAAGAAGCAAAAATCCAATAACCTAAACAGTAAGCCAAAGAAGTTGAGTATTGGCAAAACTACAAAAAAAAGATGTTTAAGGTTTTAAGGGTGTTTTTAGGTTTAGTACTTTTAAAGGTGATTTTAGGCTTTAGGATTTCTTAGGCTTTAGGGTTTATTGGTGTTTCATAAGTCTTGGGGTTTCCCTAAGGTTTAAGGTTTAGTGTTTTAGATTTCTTAGATTAGGCTTTTAAAGGTGTTGATCTAATATGCTAATGATATGCCAACTCAAGGTTAGCTTGGGGTCACTCGTGATCCTAGGTCTCGTGTTACGTCAAGCAGGTAACATCGGGGAGTGACAAAAATAATGTATGAATAAAAGCCTCTAACTAACTAGAGATGCTGGGACAAGCCCCCAGCTAACCCTAGCAAAACTAAAACTAAAATGAAAGACTGAATATATAAACATGTAAATCGTCCTCGAAAAATGAGGACTCACCACTGATATTGCTGAATACGGATCGGGGACCGATCTACGCGTGATCTGAATGCTGAGGACCTGAACCTATATCAAGAGAAGAGGTAGTGTAGAGTATGTATCAGCAGTTGAAAGATTCTAAGCATTCATGACATGACAAAACTGAACAAATATATATAACTTAACAGAGCATATTGAAGAATAATATAATCTGAACATGATGAATAAGAGTTTAGGTTTTTGTTTAAGGGATTTTAGGTTAGGGTTTAGAGCTTAAGTTTTACTAAAAAAATTTAGGTCAAGAGTTGTTTTTAATCTAGGATTGATAAAGCTTTTTTAGGATCATTATTGTTTTTACGATATATGAGTTCTATTGGCTTAGGACTTAGGGTTTTAGATTAAGGATTTTTTTAAGGGTTTTTAAGGTTTGTTTTTGGAATTTTTAGTTTTAGGGTTTTAAAGGTTTTTATTGTTTAGCTCTTCTTAGGATTTGTTAGGGTTTAAGGATTCTTAGAGTTTCATAAGGCTTAGGGTTGGGGGTTTATCCCTAAGGTTTAGGGTTTCGGTTTCTTAGGGTTTGAGTTGAACATTTAAGGTCTCCTAGGTTTTTTTTGGGTCATTCAGGGTGTACAGTTTAGTGTTTTAGGTTTAGGGTTTTTCTAGAATAGGGTTTAGGTTTGTTAGGTTTAAGATTTTTTAGGTTTAGAGTTTGAAAAAAAAATGGTTGTTTTTTAATGTTTATATTTTCTTAGGATTTAGGATTTCTTAGGGTTTAGGGCTTCATAGAGTTTCATAAGGCTTAGGGTTGGGGGTTTATCCCTAAGGTTTAGGGTTTCGGTTTCTTAGGGTTTGAGTTGAACATTTAAGGTCTCCTAGGTTTTTTTTGGGTCATTCAGGGTGTACAGTTTAGTGTTTTAGGTTTAGGGTTTTTCTAGAATAGGGTTTAGGTTTGTTAGGTTTAAGATTTTTTAGGTTTAGAGTTTGAAAAAAAAATGGTTGTTTTTTAATGTTTATATTTTCTTAGGATTTAGGATTTCTTAGGGTTTAGGGCTTCATAGAGTTTCATAAGGCTTAGGGTTGGGGGTTTATCCCTAAGGTTTAGGGTTTCGGTTTCTTAGGGTTTGAGTTGAACATTTAAGGTCTCCTAGGTTTTTTTTGGGTCATTCAGGGTGTACAGTTTAGTGTTTTAGGTTTAGGGTTTTTCTAGAATAGGGTTTAGGTTTGTTAGGTTTAAGATTTTTTAGAGGTTTTCTAGGGTTAGAGTTTATAAAAATAAATTTATTATTTTCTAGGGTTCTGGTTTTCTTAGTGCTTTTTTGGGTTTAGTGTTTGGGGTTTTCTTAGGGTTAGGGTTTTGGGCTTATGATTTTTAAGGGTTTAGGGTTCAAGGTTTAGAGTTTGGGACTGAGGGTTCTTTAGGTTTACGGGTTTAAAAGTTTTTTTTTTTTAGGTTTTTTAGGATTTAGTTTTTCTTAGTGATTTTTATGGTTTAGGATTTCTTAGTGATTTTTTTGGGTTTAGGGTTTAGGATCTTAGGTTTTGGGGTATTATGGTTTATAAGGGTTTAAGGTTTAGAGTTTCTTAGGGTTTCTTCGTTTAGGTTTTAGGGATTCGGATTTTAGGTTAAGTGTTTTTAGAGTTTATGGTTTTTTTAGGTTTATGATTTTTATGATTAAGGTTTTTAAATGTTTTAGGGTTTCTTAGTTTCTTTTAAGAATTTGGATTTCTTAAGATTTAGGATTACGTAAGCCTAATATATTTTGGTTTTTTTATAGGGATTATGGTTTTAAAGGGATTATTTTTTCCTCGGGTATTATAGTTTTCGGTGTTTAAATGGATTTTAAGGTGTAGGATTTCTTAGGATTCCATATGGTTTGGGGTTTAAGGTTTAGCCCTATGATTTGGAGTTAAGGATTTAGAGTTTCTTAGGGTATATTATTTAGCGTTTTAGGTTTTCTTAGGGTTTTGGTTTTTTTAAGGGGTTTTTAGGATTTAGGGTTTTGGGATTAAGATTTTCTAGGGTTTTATTAGGTTTAGAGGAATTTTTAGGTTTAGGGTTTTAAGGTGTTTAGGATTTTTATGGTTTGTTAACGATTAAGAGGTTCTTAGAACTTACGAATTTTATAGGGTTTTTAAGGGTTTGCGGTTTTTAAAAGTTTAGGGTTTTAACAGTTTTTTAGGATTTTTTTTTATCTCTTAAAGTTTAGCACTAAGGTGTAGGGTTTCTTTGGGTATAAGGTCTACGTTTTTATTTAAGGGTTTTTAAGGTTTAGGGCTTAACTTTTTGTTGAATGTTTTAGGTTTAGAGTGTTTTTAGGTTTAGGATTTTGAAAGTGGTTTTCAAGATTGTTATGGTTTCCTACGGTTTAGGGGTTCTTAGGGCTTAGAATTTCTTTTGGTTAAGGGCTTAGGATTTTAAATTTAGGGTTTTTAGGGGTTACGGGTTTTAAGCGTGTTTTTAGGTTTATTATTTTTAAAGGTGTTTTTAGG